TAGATAAGAGGGGTACACGGATAACGACCTGCTTTTGCTCGTCTGCACCTTTACCCCGAGATGGATGGTTAAACCTATGATCCTGATAACTGACGGGAATTCTCTGCTAAGCACTAACACTAGCCTAATTCCATTGTTTCGAAAACGGCCATTTCATCATGTTTCTCCCTTTTAATGAACATTTGCCAATGTTTGGTGCTTATCATATTTCTAAAAGCACCATTCGTTGGAAATAGGACAGCAAACATCTCCTGAGTCTTTGCCTACTGATTCTTCGGCCACGATGATGTGAGCACATACGGGCTCCCAAAAGCCTTGTCGGACACTGTCAGAATTTATCTCCCACCTTTAATGTTCCCTAAGCACCTCTGAATTACTTGCTGGAGCAGTTCCCCAGTGTTGCTACAACTCTGCTGTGAATTTTCGGGGCTATCTTATCAGCTGTTATCACGTCCTGCCACCCACCAATAATGTTCCCATGCTGCCTTCTATATCATTTCTTGGAACCATAGTCCTACCTTCGCGGCACTATTTACCCTTTACTGCCCCAGTCATCCGAAATCAGGCCAGTTCCTGACCGACTTTTTTCTCCGTGGGCAGATTTTGCTCAAATGTTGTCTCCTGGGGTAGTTTGACCTCCAGAATACGAATATCACATTCGCTCAGCCCGAAACTTCCTGGCGCCCGCGCCACAGGCGCCAATGATTTGGGGTATTTTGGCGCCGGTGCCCGTGGTGCGGGCGCCAGGAGGTTTCGGGTTGAGCGGATGTGATATTCGTGTTCAGGGGGTCAAACTACCCCTGGGAGCAAGTTTTCAGCGAATTTGGTGATTTCGAGTATTTTGGCGCCGGCGCCCGTGGCGCGGGCGCCAGGAGGTTTCGGGTCAAGCGGATGCGATATTCGTGTTCAGCGGGTCGAACTACCCCTGGAGCCAAGTTTTCAGCAAATTCTGCCCACGGAGAAAAAAGTCGGTCAGGAACTGGCCTGATTTCGGATGGCTGGGGCAGTAAAGGGTAAATAGTGCCACCTTCGCTGTGACGCACGATATGGATTTTGTGACCCTCCCCTTCTAAGGCTCCTTATGTTATCTTATCAGCTGTTATCACGTCCTGCCACCCACCAATAATGTTCCCATCCTGCCCCCTATCTTACTTCTTGGAACCAACGTCCCGTCGTTGCTGTGGCCGGCGCTATGAATTTAGTGGCCCTTCCCTTCTGAGGCTCCTTATGTTATCTTATCAGCTCTTATCACTTCCTGCCACCTTACCAATAGTGCACGACTCCTACATCCTTATCAGTGAGCGCATTTTGAAGGAAGTTATGAATTTCCGGTCAAAAAAAACACACACACACACCAACAGACAAACTTAGCGGATTATCACAAGAATGCTGAGTTGTGGGCAAAAGTCGTGCCCCAGGCGGGAGTCGAACCCGCACCTCACGCTTTCCGGGCGAGTCCGTTACGCCACCAGGGCCGCTTTTACCCTCTCAGCTTAACGGCTTATGCCGTAACCTTACAGCACTCACACGTTTAACTTGGTGAGCCGGTCAGCCGTAATCGTTAGATATCGGCATGGAACCGCAAGGCCGAAGGCTTTACAAGTTTTTGAAGCTGTTTTGTTTGAAGCTGTTTTGTTATAAGAGACTGCATAATAACTGCTATTATGATATATGGGGCCCGGCTGTCGCCGGGCGCTCCTCCTTCTGTGACACGACCCGGCTTCGCCGGGCCGATTTGCCGCGTGCTAAGTTAAGGATCGTTGACCAACCACACTGTTCAAAGGAATCTTCTGCATCAGCCAAGAACTGAAAAGCAGCGCTTTGTTCCGTCAAGGCGCAGAAGCAGCAGCAGCGCCCCCCCCCGCATCACAGAAGGAGGAAAGCCGGCCTTAGCCAGCGATCCGACTGGTACGTTCATAACCTACACGGAAATAGTGCAGCCTGTTTGGTCAGCCATTGAAGCAGCCTATAATTTATGCAATCTGTCTTCCTAAAGCGTCTTGCTTTGGAATGCACTACCGCATTCAGCAGTGGAACCCTTTAAATGGCCCTCACTGAAGTTGCTGATGGAAGATAATTGTGGTAAGAGTGATAAAGTCAGTTGCTGCTGTTCATAACATCTCTGTAAAACCACATGCATTTGGAATAGAGCTGGCTTAGCGGTCGTACACGATGTCGTTACTAATAAGCAGTGAGGAATGAGTTCTGTTGGAATCACTGAGATCGTTATACTTGAGTCATATCGATCGCATTGTTGTTGTGAGCGAAGCGGATTTTCCCATGCTACCTTGTCAATTTCAGCTCCTATCACTTCCGTACCCGCCAATAACACTCCCGTCCCGTATCACTATCATATCACCCTGTATCGCCTCTCGGATCAGAGGTCCCACTGTTGCTGTAACCTGCGTTACGAATCTGATGACCCCCTTCCGAGGCCGCTTACCGTATCTTATCAACTGTTATCACTTTCTGTCGCCCGCCAATAATGTTCCCGTCCCACACCCTATATCACCTCACGGATCTGAGTTCCCACTGTTGCTGTAACCTGCGCCACGAATTTGATGACCCTCCTCTTCCGAGGCCCCTTATCGGATCTTATCAACTGTTATCAGCTTCTGCCGAGCCGCCACCTACCTGGCATCATTCGATAGATTGAAATCATGGTCCGCCGTCGTTGCTGCAACTTGCCACGAATTTGGTCACCCTCCCCTTTTTAAGGCCCCTTATCGAATCTTATCAAGTGTTATCACCTCCTGTCACCCATAAAAGTGTTCCCGTCCTGCCATGTATATCACTTCTTGAAATCACGGCCCCGCAGCTGCTGCAACTTGCGCTAGATGTTGGTCACCCCCCCTTTAAGGCCCCTTATCGAATCTTATCAAGTGTCATCACCTCCTGTCACCCATCAAAAGTGTTCCCGTCCTGCCATGTATATCACTCCTTGAAATCACGGTCCCACACCTGCTGCAACTTGCGCTACGAATTCAGTCACCCTCCCCTTCTACGGCCCCTTATCGTATCTTATCAAGTGTTATCACCTCCTGACACCCACCAAAAGTGTTCCCGTCCTGCCATGTATATCACTTCTTGGAACTGTCATCCTATCTTTTCTGCGACGCTCGCTATGAATTTCGTGACACACACACACACACACACACACACACACACACACACACACACACACACACACACATAGCGGATTATATATAGTAGGATATTTTGGTCGGATTATTATGTTGTAGGATGATCTTAAATATATATAATCCCCTAAGTCTGTTGGTGTATTGTGTGTGTGTATGTGTGTTTGACCGGAAATTCATAACTTCCTTCAAAGGAGCGGCAAAGCGCCCTCAAACTGATAAGTGATGTAGGGGGTCGTGCACGAACATTATTGGTCGGTGGCAGGGAGTGATAACAGTTGATAAGATACCATAAGGAGCCTTAGAAGGTAAGGGTCACCAAATTCACAACGCGCGTCACAGCAGCGGTAGAGTGTTGGTTTCAAGAAGTAAGATAGAGGGTAGGATGGGGACATTTTTGGTGGGCGGCAGGAAGTGATAACAGCCGATAAGATACCACAAAGGGGCTTAGAATGGGTTATTTGCCTAATTCGTAACGTCGGTCACAGTAACGACCGGGCGTTAATACCAAAAGGTAAGATAGGGTGCAGGATGGGAACATTATCGGTGGGTGACAGGCCATGATAACAGGTGACAAGATACCACAAGGGGCTGTAGAACAGAGGGGCGTCGCAACTAGGCGCCACCAAACTTCGATAGCGCTTGTTCACAGCCGACGGCAACAGGGCGTTTGCTTCCAAGGAGGTGACTGTAGGGACAAGGATAGGGATCATTGTTGATGGGTCGGCCAAGGATCAAGTGATAACAGCTGACTACAAAGCACTGAGGGGCCTTCAAAAAAAACGGAGGGTCACCTAACTTCACTTCGCGCGGGGACCACAGGCGACGTACTAGAATGTTCCAAGAACGTGGAATAGAGGGCAGGATGGGAGCATAATCGGTGGGTGGCCAGAAGTCATAACAGCTGATCAGCTGATAAGATACCATAGTTGGAGAGGAAGCCTTAAAAATTTATAACAGGAATTGTGGTAACACGGGATCTGCTTCTAGCACATAACTCGGGAATTGGTTTTACGAAGACAGTTATTGTGAATAGACTTGTAAGCTCAGAATCAATGGGCAAACAGCACGTAGTGAGTTAAGATCTTTTATTTATTCAGCGGATGCGTAGTCGGGAACGACCGCTAAATCCACGATTTCGACAAGAAGTAATAGCTCAAATTGTTTGCCATTGAGAATTTATAAGAGCCAAAAACAGACAGATATGTGAAAGCTGCTCAGTGGAAGTATTAGGACGTAATTTCACTAGGATTTTGATATTGTTACCATCGAATCTCTTTTCAACCGCTTAGCTGTCGCTAGTTGGTCCGTTTCAGACAACATGCGTGGGGTGTTCTTCAGATTTTGATAAGCAGCCGACACTGGCAAATGTTCATTAAAAAAGAGAAATGCAATACAATCGGCCGTATTTCGGAACATGGGAATTGAGCCAAGTGTTGGTGGGCCACACAGTAATCCCGACAGTGACCAGTACCATGTTAACCATGCGCGCAGTAGTGCGCGACAGCCAAACTTGGTCATAGAAAGTCCACGATAGGTTACAAACGCATCGAAGTGCTCATCGGACATTGATGCTATTCTAGACCTATCGATGGATATGAAGAACCCGCGCATCAACAAAAAAAGAACGGATATGAAGAACCCGTGCATCAACAAAAAGAAAAGAGGAATAAGGGAACTACTTTTGACCAGATCCAAGTCCAGTTCATGGTAGAGATGTAGAATGAAGAGGAGTTACAATTCTGTGTCTATCTTATCAGTTTTGCATCAGTTTTTGGCACAGAAGAAAACAGAAAAATAGACCAATCCACCACTATTAGATACATTCTCTATATTTCGAAAAAAAAGGCAGAAAGCGGCTCACTTTCGGTTTTTCACGTACTTTTGTTCGAATGTATTATGAAACGTGGATTTTGAATGAACACTACCTACCTCCTCGTTTATTTTTTCGAGAATGGGCTCATCATCGTGAAGCTCGGGAATAGCTGACAAGTTAGTTACATTGGCGAAGACCTCGAAAAAACAACTAGTATTGACCAAAAAAACCAGAGGAAGGAACAATGTTCCAAATCGTACATCTCTAGAGGGTACCTTGAGTGGGTCGTCTTTCTTTTTACGGGGCTTTCGGGCAGATGGAGACCTTAACGCGAAGTCGTCTTCAAACGAGTCCTCACCAAAAAGCTGAAATTCATCAAATTCAACGGCAACTTAGTGCTCCCAAGAAAGTTATCTATTCCGGTCTTCTGTGAATAAGACATGACAGCAAAAAATAAGACGTACCTTAATATCATTGTGGTCAACAAAAATCACCGGGAACTGGTTGGAAGGCCGAGTACGGAAAGAACGTCTCACACTTGTATTGTTGTGTAGATGTCTTCCTCTCAGCACCATTGTTGTGCCTATCATAAATAATGAGAGAGTTCAATGTACGCTTCGTGCTCAAAAATGATGAATATTGAGGGTCAAATATTGACGACATTAGTAAGACGGTAAGTAACACAAAAATTGAAAAAGCGGAAAAGACCGCACGAAAGCCCTTTATAACTTTTCAAACCCTTCTTTGTGGTGCGTATAATGAAACTCTTTCCAGTCCTTTATTCCACTGACAACGTTTCGGGCCGTAAGCCCTTCTTCAGGTCTACAAACATCAATTATATTGCCTACACCAACATCATCTAATTATATACATACATAACAGAAATCCAAAAGAGGGAACAGTCAATTAACAACTGACCGGATTCCTATGGAAAGGAGGGTCTGGGGTAGGAGTGGGTGCGGGAGTTTGCTGCAAGATGGTCTTGGATGTAAGGCAAACAGTGATACGAAACATTGACTCACCTCCCCAGCTGTCCTTCCGTCTAGAAATGGGACAGCTAGTTCGGCGAAGCAGGGATGAGATGGTGATAGTTGATACCCTGTCATTTGTCATATGTCACGTATCACCAGTTATGACACATCATGGTGCAGCAACTAGCTCCATCGTCCTTCCTAGCTCCTCCCTGTTGTTAATCGGTGGGTTCCTCCTTCGAATCTCCAACGCTTCTTTGATCTTCCTCTCCACCGGGTCACTAATGTTCCTGTGGATTACGCGCACCTTGAGTTCAGGCGCGCTTTCATTCGTGGCGTGAGGAACGATGTCTTGAGAAGGGGTTATCCGGATAGCTGGCTGGATTCCGGAAAGCCCTTAGATGTTCATCTAGCCTTTTGTAGAGTGGCCGTCCCGTTTCTCCAATGTAGAATTCTGAACATGAGGCGCACTCTACTTCGTAAACGGTGTTCATCAAAAGGCAGATTTTTTCCCTCTCGGCAGTAAGCACAGTTCTCGCGGCCACATCGGTCTTCGTACACTCGTGACGACGTAAGGAGACGACGAAGTGTTGGCGGTGGTCGAAAAATCAGGCGGATTGGCATCCCTGAACTCCTTATAACACGATTTACGTCCTTCGCAAAGGAGTCTGATAGATACGGAAGTATCAGTGGAACGGCTTCTGGTACCTGATATGGGTGCCTGTCCTCTTCCATATCCGTTTTCGAGAAGTATACGCGTCACGGTGTCTATCACTACAGGAACATTAGTGGACGTCAACCTCCGAGCTGTCGTCAAGGCATTCTGAACTATATTCCTCTTCATAAAAAGAGGGTGGCAGCTTCTCGAGTGGATTAGGATGTTCTTCGAAGCAGGTTTCTTATGCCACATGGAAAGTACATTTCCTGCCGACAGTTTCACTTTGGTGTTCAAGAACGGAAGGAAACCATCGTGTTCAGGTTCCTCGACAGTCAGTGCAATAGTTGAGTGCACTGAGTTCAGCTTCAAGGTTTGACGTAATGCTGTTCTGGACTTCGCAACGACAAATATGTCGTCTATGTAACGGCCGTAGAACAGCAATCCCGATGATAGCGAACGCCTTTCCAAACGATCCATGAATAGGATTGCGAGAAGCGGTGCAATTCGACTGCCCATTGCTAATCCACGCGTCTGCATATAAATGTTGTTCCGAAAACGAAACATGTTGAATTTCACAACATTTATCAGAAGCTCTTCTATATCGTCGATGGACAGTCCATAAAGTTGACAACTGTTCTGATGTTGTCTTAGGAGATTTACGCACGCTTCCACAGCAACCCTTGTGTCCTGTACAACGCAGACACATCGAAACTCTGATATATTGCTCTAGAATCGACAGGAATGGTCGTCCTCGCAAGTTACGCAGGAAATGGTCTGCATTCTTCAGATGTGCTGGTACGTAGTTGAGCAACGGTGATAGCATGTGCTGCAAGAACCAGCTAACTGCATCGGTTGGACCTCCGCATGAGGAGACAATTGGTCTCGTCTTGATGTTGTCATTGTGAACCATGACTCTTTCTCCAGTGGTTTCCAGTTTGTGTGTTTTTACAAGCTGGTAATACGTGGGAATGCACGTATACTTGGGAAGGAGTCGAGTCAAAGTCCTTGTTTCCAAATGTGGGCGTAAGACCTTTCTTATCACCTCCCCAAGTTTCAAACTGAACCGCGCTTGCGCTTGTATAAGGAACAAAGGGAACGGTCTGAAAAGTTCTCATTTGATGGTGTCAGCCTTTCTCTATATTACTCACTCTCTTTTATAAATGGAAAGAGTTACGAGCAATCGCGATATAATGTAGCGGTTTGAAATGAAAGCTGGGCGTCCCTGTGACCAGCGGGCGAGGGAGTGGCTCCGTCACGAGCGTGTCGCGTTTTGCTCACGTATTTTCGAGCTGCGATATTAGTACATCCTCCATGCTGGCATGCAGAACTACCATGTCCAAAGCAGGAGGTTGAACATCAAACCGACATTTAAGCCATAGAACAGAGAGCATAACAAGCAGCTAGAGAACACAATCCAACTAGAATGAGACGATCGGAGCCGCTGCGAGCAACTCTGGTCGTCTCCTCTCTGCTAAGTCTGAGATTGAGCCTAGAGAAGAGACATAGATGCAGGCCCCTCACTTCCGACTAGGCTGGGGCCAAAAATGATTGTACGAAGGCTGGCGACTCCTACAAGCAGCATGACGAGAACCAAATCCACGAACTCCGAGTGAACAAAGACAATATTCTCCTCCCTCGCCACGACAGGAATACATCGTATTGAACAAGCCTGCATCTTAGTTACTCATTCAACCAAGAAGTTCGTAATTAAACAAACCACCAAGAACCTTTGATAGTTTGGAAAGTACCTCATATCGGGGTTTCCTGATAGCACGGAGAGACCTCATTTCAGTGCTCACTGTCACGTTGAACTGGACTGGAGTATATTTTCATAGTTGTCAAAAGAGAACGCAAGAGGGGAGGAAAGAAAAGTGATGGAAGCCTCAGTGAAATATATCCATCCAAGAGCATGTAACACTCTATCTATCTATCACATTCATCAGTGTACAACTGATTGCGTAGAAACAGGGACCATCCAGTTACTTGTCATTTCAGCCATTCATCTCAAGCCATTATGATCGATACAAAACATCTGACTGGTAGCCAAAAAACATTCATCACTTCATCTCACTGCATTATACGCGATGTACGAAAAGTACCCCATGGAAAGCATTAACTGAACAGCAAGAGTTACTTCCGAAAGTCTGAAAGTTAAAGTCTGAAAAGCCAATAATACACGGCTCTACCAAATAGCTCACTGAAGTACTCGTCAACTGAGATCACCAAATCACTGAAAAGGTCAATTCTAGGAGCGTGAAGTGAAACGAAAAGTCATTGTGGGACCATGTCGTGGCTGTTCTGCCTACTCTACCTCACTGGTGAGACCCAAGGTTGAAATAACAATGGGTGGCTGACGCCAGGGACAGAACAACCATGTCTGTCACGCAGTAAGTAGTCTTTCAACTCATTTCTATTTCTACTTTTCGCGCCGCGACTTAGTGCGACGACAGTCCTGAGCATTTTCGTAGTGGACTGCAAGAGTCAAAAGTTCGAGCGAATCACTGTAGATTCAGAACTCCAAATAAAATCAAGGCAGCCGGACCAAAAAATCATTTTGTAGATCTTCGACAAACGAAATAGCCGCCCCCAATGATGATGAATCAAAACAGTGTAACACTGGGAGCGAAATTACCTACTGATCAGAGAAGTGAAAAAGTGAAAGTAGACTGGAGGCCACGGTACTCATAAAAAGTAACTCCGATTTGTCAGGTTAACTCAAAAACTTTCGCAATGCTTTCTGGGATCTTAAAGACTGCATTCGCTACGATAAGACTGTACGTATAGGGCCGCTGAGACTTCCAACAGAACGTCGAGCGAAGGACTTTTTGCTTGATGGTTTTGCCTTGCAACTCTTGAACTGCGCTGCCTTCCGAAAACAAAGATATGGTCGAAAAGTATGGTCGTTGATAGAAACGCCCGTCTGAAAACTTCGATGGCACAGAAGAGAACAACAATAAACGGAAATTGGACGCTGCTGCACGCTGACCTTCGGATCGACATCTATACTTCCCCAGTCGCTGCCTCTGACGCGAGCTCGAACGCTGGTAGTCGCTGACGCAAAGTATGAACACCGCCTTAGGAGGAAATTGAACTATGAAATCACCCTCCCTTCGTGCCGCTGCAAATTGAGTATGATTCAACTGTCTGTGAAGTAAGGCTGCATAGAGCTCTGTGCAAGCCTTATAACGAGAACAAGGATAACTTGGTACATACAGAAATAAAATTACGCATCCCACGACTCGAAAGAGCACTCAGTAAACTTAGAGAATTCGTTAAGCGCAACTTCCGACAATGACAAGAGATAATGACACAAAAAATAATATCAGTCCCCTAATCATCTTCAGTAGGATCAATATTATTACCACCTTTGCTTCTTCTTTACTACAAAAAATGATTGATAAACAAAAAAGAAAGGCACTAGTGAACACCTGACAATAATCCACATTTGAATCGGTGCTCAAATTCAAAAAAAAGAAGCAAACTGGCAAACGCGCCAGCAGCCGGCACTAACTACAGTACCTAATGAGAGGCAGTCGTGCGAATCTAAGAGGTAATCGATTTGAAAGAATTTGGAACTGGTTGCGGATGTCATGAGTTCGTAACGGGAATCTGTTGAGAATTGTGCGTTTGCTCTTTTCTAGTTTTTAATTGCAGGCAAAAAATTCCGTTTTTCCAATGCCGCAGCTTTTTTGGCAATGTTTTGTAGATGTGTTTTGATTACTGGACGTTTATCGGTGTTGAGCTCGCTGTGCATCAATATCCTCCCAGATCTTCATTCTAAATCAACTCACTTCTGCGCTCAGTTGGTTTTGTATCGTCGGACCTCATGTCTCCTTGGATTCTGCCACGTGCGATATTGATTTTTCCATTTCGATTTACTACAACCACCGCTAAACCTGTGGCACGTGAACTCACTGACTAATTGTTGATATGTTCCGACGCTTTT